GAGTATGGCTGTATCAGTCGCATTTACTCATATCATCATAATGATTGATGAATGTTGAGTTCCTTCATGATATGCTCGAAGATGCACATATTCTCACTGCGATGCACTTGAATGAGCTTTTTTTTGTTTTGTTGGAAATTGTGCGGTGATTATGGTTTTTTATTGACCTATATTTTGTTCTTGGAACTTCACTATTTTAAATTTTCTTATTTGAAGGATATTTTACAATTGAAAAAAGCAGATTTTGAGAACAGCTTTTCTAAGAGGACGAATTTTGAGCGCTTAATAGGTGATTATTGTGGCACACTTGATGTAAATGCGCATCATATAAGAGATTCAAAACTGTCGTCATAGGCTCGCCTCTGAGCTGAGTGAATTCAGCGTCAATTTCAGTTCGCCTTTCTGGTTTTTTTCTTGAATGTATGTGATGTATAACTGCACTATGTAAGGAGTTCACTCAAGTGTGAACGCGTTTATGATTTGGATTCAACTTTTAATAGCCATGAATGTCGCAAAATATCATGTCTGCAAAATCATGTTAAAGTTTTGAACGTACTTACAAATGAGCAAGTGCTTGTTTTGCTTGGTACACTCTTCAAAAAGTATTCCTTTTCAGATTGAATATTACATGAAGGGAATGAGTATCTTGGAGAAGAAAGGTGTGGATGTGACAATGACGGTGAAATTTTTATTGGATAGTCATTTGACGGATAAGCAGGTAGGCAGCTTGTTTTGATTCTTACCTATTTTCTGATTTTTCGTCACTCTATGTGCAAGCTTTTTCTTGCATCATCCATTTTCCAGAACAATTTTTGCAACTTCTCAAATTCTTCTCCCCAAATCCCATTTGTCACTGTTGCGCCTTTTCCTTATATGTTCTACCCTGATCCTCCTTATACATGTCCTTCGCTTTGTTAGCCTTCAAAACGTATTTGCTAATCTGCAAACATTGTGCTGTGTGCAGATGACACGCTTAGGACGATGTGTGTGCTTATGACATATCAGCGTAATGACCCTAGGTCAAGTCACATGATTAGCATCGTGCAAGCCGAAAAGCATTAGTGATTATTAGTGGTAGAGATGAGGCTTGGGAAATTGCATGCAATGATAAGATACCTCTGAGTGTTTGGGGAGGAGGATGCTATTTTTAAATTTACGGATGGACTATGATTTTACCATCTTTTTTTACTTTTGATCGAATACAATTTCACCGATTTTGTTCGCGTTCTTCAATATGGAAAAAAAAATGTTTAGAGTTGAAGGAAGAGATATAGTCAAGAGCGGGTTCTGTGCCGCTTCTTTGTGTAATTTTATGGTCTCTTTGATTTATGGCTGGATTCGCGCAATAAAGCGGAATGGCAAGGCAAACTTATCCTTTTTTGAAGGTTTTCATAAAATTGTTGGCTGTATTTGAAAATTCAAATGTATTTTTATAGTTGAGATATGTTGTATTGGATTGTCTTCTATGTAGGCTTTCCTTAATCAGGTTCACGATTATTTTTCAATCTTCTATTTGGGATAGGGATTTGGCTCACCCTTCTCCCCATTCCTCTTACTCTGGGAAAGCAGGCAAGCTTATTTTTCTTCACTTTAGACCAGTGAAGGGGCAAAGGCTCGTTCGAGGAATAAAAAAAAAAGATTTGTAAATTATCTGCGCGTTTTTCGCCGTTCCTGCGGTGGAACACGATATATGTATTCCATTCTCTTGCTAGTTACTATAACGTAACTATGTAAAAGAACGTGCGCGTAATGAAGATTTGGCTAAACCTCTACGTTAAAATAATGATTTAAAAATAATACTGTCACTTTGTAGGTTTTAAATCGATACTTTTCTTTCATATATTTTAGATCAAAAAATTGGTTTTGGGATAATTTAGGTTATACAATAGAAAAGGACAATCTTCCGCTTTGACTAGTGTATGATATTTTGTATTGCTTGCAGGAAATATTTGGGATTGCTGAAAGGAAAATTGCCTGATTCAGGTTTTCTGTTCAAGAAGTACTTCTTGAGAAAAGGGTTTGCTAAGTTTTCATACACAGGTTTTTCAAGCAGTTCTTCATTCCTACAAAAATGTGAGCACTAATATTTATTAGTATTGTGAGGACGGGTGTACGTAACGGGCGAGTTTAAGTACAGTAAGAATATCATAGGGTGTGATAGGCGCTGTAAGCACCTCAGTAAAAACATTCTGACGCCTCCTCGCAAGGCTGCATCTTATTTCTCAAGAACGGTTTATTATCAGAAATTGGAAAAATGAGGATCTCGAGTATGTCCCTGTTTGTCCAATTTTTTAAAGAGAAAATTCATAAGCATTTTCATCCAGGAGATACGGTCCATTCAAAAGCCGGATCTCTCTGAAATGAAATGGAGCTTGCCTGGAGTTTTGCTTTTTTATTGGCGGGAGTTGTTTCAAATTTTGTAAAACCTGCCAAATCAATCCGCTTGCATCCTGAACAGGGAGTTTGCGAAATCATACAGCTCTTTATCGAAAACATTTGATAATTTTTATTGAGAGATTACATAAATCGAAGGAAAAAGAGGATGAGGATTTGTAGAATCCTGATGTAACCCGCCACCCCTCCGCCGTCAATGATGGCCTTCTCCGCTTGAAG